GCATACATTATACGAAGTTATACGAGTGTTATCAACACCACACTCTCCCGAGTGAGCCACGGGCCGGCCCGTGGAAAATCTAACTATGGTATTTGAACTGTAAGGCTTTGTGGAAGTTATTAGATAGTGAAGGCCATGCCTTTATGAATGGATTGATCTGTTCATGAAATAGTGAGTTACTGAGTTATTGGGGGTAGACTGGTGGCTTTAAACAGCACGTGGACACACTTTTGCCACTCTCATCTTGTGATACACTGCACCAACTGTGGACTCTGCTGAGAGTCTCCACAAATGAGAAGACTCCCACCAGATGTGACACCTCAACCTTGGACTTGTCTGCCTACATAACTATAAAAAATAAATTTTGTTTCCTTATAAATTACCCATTTTCAGGCATAAAGTTACAAGCAGAAAAACATGGACTAAAACATTCTGGAAGAAGATAGACATGATAATGGACCAAAAGAGAGCTACCAAGAATACTGATAAAGTTCACAGTAAATAAAATGGTCTAAAACAAGAACGGTAGAGATTAGATTTGGGGAAGTATATGACTGCTCATTAAAATAAAATGTGGGTCTATAAGTGTTAGAGACCTCTTTGGAGATTTTTTAATGCATGAGTTTCTAAGTGGACCAGCAGTTCTCTGGTCTGAAATCTAGCAAATATATTGGTAAAAACAGCTGAACATGACCAAAATCTGCTGGACCTTACTCTTTCCAGCCTCAGTGCCCAGAACATACTGACATTGTAGACTCTGGTTTTGGGAGTCTATTGTCCATTGTTCTGCTTCTTGCTCCAACTTGAAGATCATTTCAGGTTTGGTAATGCAGTACCCTTTAATGGATAATAACAGGGACTTTGCAAAATTGTTGTCAGGTTCTTGAAAGGATGACAAGAGCTCATCTTAAGATGCTTTGAAATGACAGGGCCAATTTCAACGTTTCTATGGAGAGGGATGATGCATTCTTTATGGAATAAAATCCTACCTAAATAGCATTAAATCTTTTAAGTGGTTCCTTCATGTACCATACAAGAAGAAAGTACTGCCCCTGACACTGAGGAGTTTAACTCACCTCAGGGTCGCGCTGTTTCCCGACACGGGTGCTCCAGACGCACCGCCATTTTCCACCTTCTCAGTGATGTCCTCTCTAAACTCTCAATTTTATACTTATCCAAGTATAATATGTCAAATCCAATGACACCAGGTTGCTGTAGTTCTCCAGCATCACATTCCTGTACAAAGTCCTTTGACCATCATCAAGGTCCTGCCACTCCTCCCATGTGAAGTCCAGAGCAACATCCTCAAAGGACACTAACCCAAAGACTTATTCATTTTTTGTTGCTCTTGGAAATGCAAATAGCCCTCTGGCAGCACAGCTTCAAAGACAGAATCCAACCACAGAATCTCGTCATCACCGTGGAGGTGGCAGCAGCCTCTGGAAGATGACGGGAACGGGTAAGGCCGCACATGCGCACCAGAAACCCAGAGCAGCCCTGCCCGGATCCCGTGTGGGTGACCAGAAGACTTTTCACTCCTAAACATATCCTTGTAATCATCCCATGCATTGAGAAACAAAACATTTCTCTCACTCAACAAACACCTTCTTGAGTGCCTCCTTTCCTCATTACATCCACAAGGATAACCACTATCTTGATTTCGAATGTAGATTAGTTTTGTCTGTTTTTCCCTTCATATAAATGAGATCATAAGATATAGTTCTGTGTCTGGCTCTTTCCCTCAAAATTGTGTTTATGATATTCAACTCTACTGCTGGATATAGTAGATCGTTCATTCTGTTTGCTGTATATCATTCTGTTATGTGGATATGCCATAATTTAATTAAATTCAGCCAAATCATTCATTGAAAATGAAAAAAAAAATGAATAAAATAAAATGTAATCTTAAAGCAAAAAAGAAAAGAAAAAACAGATTGGAAGTTTCCTAAAAAGTTAAACACACACATACACCTATAGTTCAGCCATACCATTCCCAGGTATTTACCTAACAGATAAGTGACCATATGTAGATGTAAAACATATGACAATGGTAACACAAACACCAGGTTAGAGGAGATGAAAGTATACTGCTTTATACTTATACCATATGTGAAGTGATAAAATAATACCTGAACATTGACTATGATCATTAATGTTATACTGTAAATTCTAAGATAATCACTAAATCATATGCCCTATTTATCCTATATACATATACAAGCGTGTGTGTGTGTGTGTGTGTGTGTGAGTGTGTTCAAGACTTCAGGGAATATAAATTTGGAAAACTGAAGCTTGCTATTTCTTTTTGTAAAATAACTTTATTGAGGCATAATTCACATAATTTAAAATTCACTTATTGTAATGCACAATTCTATAAGTTTTTACAAGCATGTAACAGTTGTGTACATAAAATAAAGATAAAAATACAGAATCTTTCGTGACAACAAAATAGCCCCTGATGTTCTATTACAGCCAGTCTCAAATCCATGGCTACAACTGATTTGTCTCCTGTTCATTTGGTTTTTCCTTCTCGATAACTATACACACACACTCATTTACACACACGGAGGTTTTTGGGTAAACATGTGTTTTCTTTTTCTTTTTTTTTTTCCACTTTCTAAACATATGTTTCAATTCTCTTTGACAAATATCTAGTTGTGGAATTTTCAGGTCAGATAATAAATGTATGTCTAACTTTATCAAGTTAAGAAACTTTATCAAGTTAAGAAACTGTCAAAATATTTCCCAAAAGGGGCTGCAACAGTTCACTTCTCCATCAATCTTATGTGATCATCTAAATTCACATCACCAGCACGGATATTTGTAGGGATTTGTTTTGTTTTGTTACTTTTATTCTAACAGCTATGTAATTGTATCACATTGTGATTGAATCTCCATTTCCTTAAGGACTAGTGATAAGTGTATTTTAATGTGCTTCTTTGCTATTTTAATACTTTCTTCATAAAGTGAGTATTTCAATGCTTTGCCCACATTTTTTAATTATTTGTTTTCTTATTATTAAGTTTGAAAGTTCTCTCTATATTCTGGATACAAATATTTTGTCAAATATGTGTTTCAAAAGTATTTTCTCTCAATCAGTGTCCAGTCTTTCCATTATTTTAACAGTGTCTTCTGGAGTACAGACATTTTACAAATTTAAGTCTGTAATATTTGTAGGACACGTAGTGACGCCTTCTTTTGTATTCCATGGCATGCATACTCTGAGACTTCTCTTTATCTCTTTATTGGCCTGAAAATTAGTTTTCATTTTTATTAAACTTATCAAAAACCTACTTTAGGGCCGAGCCCGTGGTGCACTCGGGAGTGTGCGGCGCTGGGAGCGCAGCAGTGCTCCCGCCAGGGGTTCGGATCCTATGTAGGGATGACCGGTGCGCTCACAGCGCTCACTGGCTGAGTGCGTGCGGCCGGTCTCAAAAAGGACAAAAAAAAAAAAAAAAAAACATACTTTTGATTTTATTGATTTTCTTAATTTTTCTGTTGTCTATATTATTGATTATTGCTCTTATTACTTTCTTCATAGTTTTTGATTTAGTTTACTTCTCTATTTACACCTTCTTCAGGAAAAATATTAAACTATTAATTTGAGACATCTGTTCCTTTCTAATGTAAATATTCAGTGCTGTAAATTTTCCTCTAAGTACTGTCTTACTGGCATCCCACACAATTTGATATGTCCTGTTTTCTTTTCTTTTTTTGTTTTTGTTTTTGTTTTCAGTTCATAACACATTCTCTTTCCCTTCTGATATCTTTTTAAATTGTGGGCTATTTACAGAGGCATTGACTAGTTTCCAATTAGTTGAGAGGTTTTCTAATTTCTTCCTCTTCCAAACTCCTAATTTAATTGTAGTCAAGGACCACATTTGTAATCATTTGAAATCTTTTGTAATTATTGAGACCTTTTCTCATTATCCAGAATATGACCGATTTTGGCAAATGCTTTGTGTGCCCTTTAAAAGAATGGGTATTCTGTTGTTGGGAGAGTATTTTCCAAATATTTATTAGTCAATTTAGTTAATATTATTGTTCAAGTCTTCTAAATGCTTAATTTTTATATGTATTTGCTCTGTCAATTACTGAAAGAAGGGTGATGAAAAACCCAAGTATAATTTCGGGTTTGTCTATCCTTTATTTTGATCCTTTTACTCTTTAAATAGTTTGAAACTCTGTGAGTAGATGCATAAACACTTATAAGTTTATGTTCTTTTGATGAATTGACCCCTATGCAACTATAAAATGAGCTGTTACCCCTAATGTTCCTTGATGTGGAATTTACCTTGTGTGCCAATGTAGACAAACCATCATTATTTCAATTACTATTATCATGGTAAATCTTTTTCATTCTTTTACTTTTAAACTAGTTAGTTATTTCTATAGAATAATTTTTCTTTTCTAGACAACATATGAAGGTGCTTTCTGTGGTTGTTTTTTTAATTACTTTAATCAAAACGGACAGTCTCTGCCTTTTAATGTAAATGTTTAAACCGTTCACAACCTGTAATTATTGTATATTTGGATTTAAGTCTACCATTTTGATAACTTCTATTTATTCCATTTGTTTTTTTCCTCTTCATTTTTTTTACTGATTTATTAAAATCCAGTTAGTTTTTGCATATTAAACTTGCATCACGCAAACTTACTAAACACATTTATTTATTATAGAAAATTTTCAGTCAGTAAATTTATTTATATGATCATATGGGTTTTCTCTATTTTGCTTTTTGCATATTCAAAGTTTTTATAAAAAATAGCTTTATTGAGATTTAATTCAGATATCATACAATTCACTTCTTTTAAAGTGTATAATCCATTGGTTCTTAGTATGTTCTAGAGTTTTGTAACCATCACCACAATCAATTTTAGGACACTTTTATCAAATAAAAAGAAACTCTATAACCATTAGTAGCTATTCCCCATTTCTCCCCGCTGCTTCCACCTATCTTCCCCACCTCCCACCCCCACACACACACTCTGGCCCCAGGAAATCACTTCTCTAAATTATGTTTATGTATATTTGTCTATTCTGGACATACTTGTAACATTTTTTCTATCTAAATGAAATGTATCCTTTGAACAACATGTTCTCAACCCAACATCCACCCTAACCATCCAAGCCTCTGATAACCACCATTCTATTTTCTGCTTCCATGAGATCAACTTTTTTAGATTCCATATATTAGTTAGATTATACAGCTTTTGTCTTTTTGTGCCTGGCTTATTGTACTTAACATAGTGCTCTCCAGGTTCATTCATGTTTTCATCACAAATGACAAAATTGGCTTTTATGGCTGGATAGTATTCCACTGTGTATATACACACCACATAAAAACAGACACATAGACCAATAGAACAGAATAGAGAACCCAGGAATAATTTCATGAATTTCCAGCCAAGGAATTTTTGACAAAGGTGCCAAGAACACACATTGGGGAAGAACAGTTTTTTCAATAAATGGTGTTGGGAAAATGGGATATCCACATGCAGAAGAAAGAAATGAGATCCTTGTCTCTCACCATATACAAAAATCAACTCAAAATGGATTAAAGATTTAAATGTAAGATGCAAAACTATGAAACAGCTAGAAAAAATATAAGGGGAAATTCTTCATGAGATTGGTCCGGGTAGTGATTTTTTGGATATGACCTCAAAAGCACAGACAACAAAGACAAAAATATGCAAATGGATTATATCAAACTAAAAGCTTCTGCACAACAAAGGATACAATCAGCAAAGTGAAGAGACAACCTACAGAATCAGAGAAAATATTTGCAAACTATACATTTGATAAGAGATTAATATCTAAAATTTACAAGGATCTCAAAAAACTCAATAGCAAGAAAACAAATAATCCTATTTACTTGAACAGTCCCACAGTCCAGTGTGGGGTTTGTATGACTGACAGAGTAGTCTGTGACTTAAGACAACCAATGAAGTATAGTGATTTTAAAAAATTCAGGAGCATTCTAAGAATACCATATATATG